TTAGACTTGCCTCCAAGATAGGCCGTAAGCCACTCATATTCCCACGCATGCTTTCCACCCTCCATCCCTCTGTCCTGCCACCTCAGGGCCTTTGCACGTGCAGCTCCTTCTATCAGAGTCCCTCCCGGGCAGGGAAGCCCTCCTAAGGCATGTGTTCCCCACCCCTCATGCATTCTTCACTGCTTCTCCTTTCCCACCCAACATGCTCCACAGTGTGAGCCCCAAAGCTGGAAGCCAGGGTTCCCCCCAAGTCAGCAGACCCCTTTATTCTTACATCACGATGAGGTCTCACCTCTGGGGTTGAACCTGAATAAGCCAGTAGGACTCAGAAGCCCGTCTCATCTTTCCTTCCCAGAGATCTGACTGTCTCCTTCCCTCACTCCCCTCTACCCTCAGCCTCTCTTCTCTAAAACTATTCTCACACCCCTTCTATTCACAACATTTTAAAGATTCTCAACTGTTGGAACTGTAGCAACAGTACAGCAAGGAAGGCGATTTCCTTGCATGCAGCAGACTCGGGATTGGTTCCCTGGTACCCTAGATGGTTCCCGGAGCCCCACCAGGAGTGATTGTTGAGTGCAGAGCCAGGCATCAGCCCTGAGCACTGCCGGACGTGGTCCCTACCCCCCCCCAAAAAAATTAAATAACTACTTGGGATGCATTAAAATAAATAAAAGTCCTCAAATGTGAAAAAAAAAATGTCCTAAACATGGCGTGGCATGCCCCTTAGTTGAGTCTGTTGCTACCCTACCATGACAAGCCACAGAACCACTTAATTCTTCTCCATCCTCCTCCCCATGGACTCTCCTGCCCTACCCCACTCTCCTAGAAACCCTTTCCTGTCTTGATTCCTGGGTTGACACCCCGTGCCCACCCCTGCCCTGAATATCCCTCCTCGGTCTCCTGCAAGGCTTTCACTCCATGGTCATTTTGTCCTTAACTCTTTTCTCCCTGTGCCCTCTGACACGGAGATCTTGATCGGGCCCAGATCCTTCACCTTCACCTTTGTGAAGTCTCCAGATGCCACTGCTCTGTCTCTTCTTGCAAGCTCCAACATTAGATGATCACCTGCCTCCCAGGCACCTCTGTCTGGAGAGATCTTGCTCTGATACCAACACTGCTCTTCCTGTGGAACCATCCTTCCCTTTCTATTCATGGATCATCACTGGTTTGGCTGCTCATTTATTTGTTTGGAGGTAACATCTGACAGTGCTCAGGGATTAATCTTGGCTCTGTGCTCAGTAAATACTTTGGGCAGGGTTTAAGGACAATGCTGGCGATCAAACCAGAGCTGGCAATAATCCCTCTGCCTTTTTTTGTTTGTTTGTTTTGGTCACATCCAGCAATGCTCCGGGGTTACTCCTGACTCTGCACTCAGGAATTACTCCTGGGAGTGCTTTGGGGACCTCATGAGATTCTGGGGATTGAACCTGGGTTGGCAGCATGCAAGGCAAACACCCTACCCACTGAACTACCAATCTGGCCCCTCCCTCTGCCTCATCCAAATTATCTTTGATGTCCTCCTCTCCCTGGCTTACCCATTAAATTCAACTTATAGATGTCTTGGTCCTACCACCACAGCACCCACCTCTTTTTGCTTTTTATGCTATGGTCAACAGTTTCATCCGGAACCCCCTCACCTAGGTTTTCCAACAAACATCCGTATCTCTCGATTCAAAGCTGTTCCCAGTTTGCATTGTGCCCTCCCAGATCCACAGGCTCTGTCTTCCTAAACTACATCTATTCCTTAACTCCCCTCTCCTCTCTCCTCTCCCCACCCCTCCCCTCCCCTCCCCTCTCCTCCCTTACCCTCCCCTCCATCTCTGATGGAGCCAGGCGCTCCTGACAGACACCTTGCCCCCAGGTGAGACTCAGGCTCCAGACCGTCTTACTTCTGACCAATCAAAAGTAGGTTTCAGGTGCCCTCTCTGGATTCTCACTCGCAGTTCATCAAACTCTTCATCAACTTTGTTCTTCAGACTTTCCTCTGCCTTCCACTCTTCACTATGAACCCTCTCTTGCCAAAGAGCCTGAGCTCTTTAAAAACCCCACCCAACCTCTAAGGCTCAGTTCCTGGATGATCTCTAGCTAATAGTGACCTCTCCTCTCTCTTCACTCCTCCAGAGCCTTCTCCATGTCTCTCTTCACAAAGGGCTTCAAATGAAAGCACCAGTTCATCTCCCCCCTTACTAAATTCCCCTTTAGGATAAGATTCCCCTCTAGTTCCAATATGCACTGAAATCTCTACCAGTAGAGACATGCGAGACCAGCCTAGACCCAGAAAGAGGATCAGTAGATAACTTGACTGGACCCAGCCCACTCCAACTCTTATTTCTTTTCTTGTCCTACTGCATTATCTCTGACATCTAATACAACACTCAATGATCACGGTGATAACAGGCATCTCTGTCTCATCCCTGGTGCAATGGGAAGGCGTCTCACCTTTCACCAGGTAAAGGAGATGCAGGGTGCAGATTTCTGTTCCCTTCCATTCGTCATGCTAAGAAAACTACCCCCAAGGTCTCTGAGACCTGAAACAGTACTAAGACATAAAGGAGTGGTTGGATCAAAGTGGAATGAACCATGGGAAGAGAGGACAGAGGTAGGGAGGACACCTGAGGAGAAATCAGACCAGTTCGTGGTGAAGAAGCGATTCTCCTTCCCATCTGAGCCTTCCTGGTGAACCATATTGACACTTAGGTTCATTCATCATTTTTGTGGGGGTCACACCCGGTGATGCACAGGGGTTACTCATGGCTCATGCACCCAGGAATTACTCCTGGAAGTGCTCGGGGGACCATATGGGATGCTGGGAATCGAACCCAGGTTGGCCGCGTGCAAGGCAAATGCCCTACCCGCTGTGCTATTGCTCCAGCCCCCTCGTTCAGCATCTTACATGTGGATGCAGAATGCACAGAGAAGGGGAGGAATGAAAGTCTATCTCGCTGTCCAAAGTTGAACGTCTCTACTCACCCGTGGCTCTGTCTCCATGAGCACTGCAGGCTGGGACCCGCCTGCAGGGCTCCTGGGGAGAGTGCATGTGAAACCTGCTGGTGTTAAGAAATCGTGACCGGAAACTATATGACTCTTCCTCTCTGTACCTCATCCCTTCTCCGGACCCAGCTTTTCGTGGTGAGTGGGAGAGGACTAGCAGGGTTTGGAGGGAGAGACACTACGTCAACCCTATCCACCCCCCACCCGCCACCCCAGGAATTTAGGGCAGCTACAGAACATTGCTCTTAGCAAGTCCTAGAGGTCACCCACTCTAAGATGAACTTCCTTCCCAGGTCATACTGGTAGGAGTCTCTCTGAGCAAACTCAGAGGCCTGGACATGGGGCTGGGGGAGGTATGGGGGGAGGGGGGGCGGACAGTGTTCTGCTCAGGAGAGGAGATTCAACCTGCCCTTACCCCCATGGATCTCACTCAATTTTATGCAAAAAGTGTCCCTATTCTTCAGGCTGCCATACTAACTCCTACCATGCAAAGAGGGGTTCATTTTGCCTGTCTCTTTCCCAAATCTGGGGGGGAAAATGAAAAAACACTGACAATGAACCCCATCTCAAATGTAGGAGAAAGAAGAGCGGGCAGCGTGGATTCTGGGGCCAGGACACACAGTGACTCATGCTGGGTTTCTGACTCGAGCGAAAGCTGCTATGTGCCGGCCTAATCCTGCAGGGAAACACTGGCTGTCATGCCCATGGTGCAAAGGTTTCCGTGATGGCCCATTTTCAGCTGCCCAGTGTTGCGTGGGGACCAGAGACCCAGGTTCACACACCCAGGGTGGGGGTCTCCTTCCCCGCCTGCAGCTGCCACGGTAACTCAAGTTTCCCCTAAATCTAGAAAAAGGGCAGCATGAGATCTGAGCGGAGGGGCATGGCAAAGGTTCCTGCTGCCCACACGGGACCAGTCCTGGGCTTCACCCCCACTGAAGAACCCACCCACAGGATGTTCCGCTCAGTTCTGCTGACCCTCATGGCAGAGGCCTGGCTGGGTGGGCAAGAGGAATCATCCCCTTAAGGCCTTGACACCCTCAGTTCCCTGTCGACAGCTACCCAGCAAGTATTCTTGGTTCCCTGCTCTCTCTTTGTCTCTCTCTATCTCTCTCTGTCTCTGTCTCTCTCTTCTGTCTCTCTGTCTCTGTCTTCTTCCCTGTCTCTCTCCCTCTCCCTCCTTCCTTCTCTCTCTCTCTTTCTCTCTCTCTCTCTCTCTCTCTCTCTCTCTCTCTCTCTCTCTCTCTCTCTCTCTCTGTGTCTCCTCTCCTCAGAAAAACAGGCCTACCTTTTATGGGCAGTGGACATCTGTCCCCCACTTCCGCTTCCCCTCAGGACTCACGGGGCAGTTGGTTGAGACCAAGCAGCTCACTGTCCCGCAAGCAAAGACAGGATCTGGAAGCCCCCACCAGGCTGAACTGTGGGGCACCTGGCCGGTCACGCCAATCAACAGAGCCCAGGAACCACCATCTCCCCTCCCAACCCTAACACCCCCCGCCTTGCTCATAGTCCTGAGTGGGGCTCAAGGAGAGATCCTAGTCTGAGATGCCCCCCAACAATCCTCTCCCTGCCCCCACACTCTTCCAAGAACCAAGTTTTCAAGTGGGCACCAACAGTCAGGCCTTCTCTCTGCTGTAAGAAAAAGCAATCTTTGCTCCAGCTCCCACATCACCACCTCGAGGAAGCCTTTCGGGATTGCCCGAGTCTTGCTTCCCCAGAACTTTCGGAGTGCTGCGGGCTGTGTTGGTCTACACTGCACTGTTAGAAAAGCCCGTCTGGGCAATGATTTCCTCTTAGATGGCAGGGTAGGGATTACAGTGACATTGGCCGGTGGATCTCTGTGCTTGCGTAGGTCTAATGCAAAACGCACGCAGTGAGCGAGCCTGTGACTCCCAGCTGTGCCTCTGCCAGGCCCTAGAAGCCCCCTGCCCACCTGCTCCCCACCCCCAGGGCCTCCAGGGGAGACCTTGGAGAAGTGGGTCAGAAGAAGGAGGAGCCCCAGGTCTTACCTGCTACCCGGTGTGCCACCAGCCCCTCCAGATTCAGCGGCTCCTCCTCTGGGGTCCGCGAGGGGTCTGCGGGCGTCTCCTTGGGTGGGAGCTGAGGCTGAGCGCTGAGGCCAGGGAGAGAAGTGGGGGGCTGCTGCGGCCCAGGGGGGCCCTGGGCAGCGGGGAAGTAGGCCACCGCTGCTGCCGGAGACGACGGCCCCTTCGGATGGAAACTCTGGCCGGGGCCCGCAGACGCCAGCTGGTAGTCGTAGGGTGAGTAAGGCCTGCCCAGCGGGGTGGACTCCAGAAAGGCCCGGCCGGCCGGCTCTGAGCTCCCCAGGGAACGGCCGGTGGGGATGTAGCCCGACCTGGACTGGGTCAGCGGATGGGAAGAGCCGGAGAGCGCCGAGGAGGACAGGGAGGACGCCCCGGGCCAGGCCCCCGGGAGACTCTGGGACTTGTGCAGGGGTGCGGCGGCCGAGGTGGTGGGCTCCAGGTCCAGCATCAGCATGTTGAGGGTCTCGATGGACTGTTCAATCTCCTGCCGCGAGGCTGCCCTGGGGAACTCGGGGAGGCCCGAGACGGCGGGTGTCTCTGCCGAGGGCTGGGGGCTGGACCCGACCCTTTCCGGGTGGGCTCTGTCCTGCTGGCGAGGGGGCGGGCGTGGTTGCTGCTGTTGCTGCTGCTGCCAGGAATTCAGGCCCCTTTGCACGGCCTCCCGGCTGCTCCCCCCACGCGTGGGGGCTGGCGGCAGCTGGGGCTCCGTTTCCGGGAAGGACTGAGACCGGAACATACCACTGGAGTCCTGGCCATAGTGGGGGGTGGCCCCTGGCTGTGGCCAGGCGGGGCGGTGGGCCCCCTCCCACTGGTAGCCCCCGGCTAAGCCCTCCTGTGCTGAGTAGGAGGGCCTCACGGGGGCCAGGTGGGTGGGCAGGGCCCGGCCGGCTGACTCATAGGGGTAGCCCCCGCCGTTGACCATGGCTTCTCCGGGGTAGTGCTTGTCCAGGCCGTTGGTGAGTGGGGACAGGGTGGCCTCTGGGTAGCCACTCTCGCTGATGGTGGCCACCCCGTCCAGGGAGGACAGCGTGCCCAAGCTTCCCGCGCTGTGCCCATCCTGGTGGGGCAGCTCGTCGTCAAGGATGTCCGTCTCCCGCTCGGTGGTGGCCAGGGCCCCACCATTGACATGGACCTGGGCTGGGACCACGTGGCGGCCGGCGGGCGAGGCTGGGCTCCCCGCGGGGCGGGCGTGGAGGAGGTGGTGTTGCGGGGCCTGGTACATGGCACCCTGCTTGTCCCGCTCCAAGCCGAAGCCACTGAGAAGCCGGTCCAGCTCGCGCTTCTCCTCAGGGCTCAGGGACACAGGCGCTCCCGCGGGCGCGGGCCCCGGCTCATCGGTCTTATCGGTCTTGGTGGAGGCTGTGGAGTTGCCCGAGTCACTGCTCACCGAGAGGGTATGTTCCACGTGGTTGGGGGTGGCCGATAGGGCGGGCCGAGGGGCACCGCCAGCCCCGATGCTGCCTGGCAGTGAGTCCTTCTTCTTCACCTTAGCATACAGGCTCCCATCCAGCGGCCCTTGGGTGTGTCCCACCACCTCTGCAGGGGGAGAGAGAGCACACGGCAAGGGTCAGAGGGAGGCAGGGGTGTCTCTCGGGAAAGAGCGCTAAGAGCTTCCTTGCCTGGACCCTAACTCCCCATCCCACCACCCCAAGATAGGATAAGGGTGCAGGAAGCTGAAGGCACCTTGGGCTTGGGGGCAGAACCCTCTTTCCCTCCCCAAGCTCCAGGGAGCCAATTGAGGCTGTCCTGGGGACCAGGGCTCCGCCTGCTTGCATTCCATTTGATTCCCAAGGACTTCGAAGCACTAGGTCAGGATGGGGTCCCATGACCAAGGAGACAGCCAAGGGGACATGCTTTCCTTCTGCACACTTGGGAATGTCCTACCCAAGGGGTTTCAGGGTGGGACAAGCTCTTCAGTATCAAGAACAACAAAGCAGGGACTGTCGTGGGGGTGATGGGTTTGATCGACGTATTTGCAGAGGTAAAGAATGTCCTGCTCGTTGAAGATGTGTGCATTAACCACAATGGCCCAAAGGGGGGGGGAGAGAGATAGAGAGAGAGAGAGAGAGAGAGAGAGAGAGAGACAGAGACAGAGACAGAGAGAGAGAAGTGCCTTTCATAGAGGCAGGCTGGAGGTGGAGTGGGGTGATGAGAGAGAAATTGGGGACACTGGAAAATATATACACTGGTGGAGGGATGGGTGTTGGAACACTATATGACTGAAACCTAATCATGAATAGCTTTGTAAGGGTCTGTCTCACAGTGATTCAATAAAAAAAAAAGAGGGGGGCAGACAACCCAGGTTCGATTCCCACCATCCCATATGGTCCCCTGAGCACAGCCAGCAGTAACTCCTGAGTGCATGAGCCACGAGTAACTCCTGTGCAATGCTGGGTGTGACCCAAAAAGCAAAAAAAAAAAAAAAAAAAAAAAAAAAAAAAAAAAAGAGGGGGGGAGATGTGTACATTGCCTTACAATTTGATTTAAAAAAAACTAAAAATCGACAATTTCTCTACAAATATGTTTGAAGCATCAGAAACACCACTTAAGAGTCAGAGTTGTTTGAAATGCCGCTGAGAATAGACCATCCTTCTGCAATTTTATTTACAGGGACTTCTAATTCTTCATCAAACATGGTGCCTGTAAGCAGCTGTGGTTCATTGAAAACACTCATTTTAAGTCTTTTTGAAAAACAGTAAAAGGAAAAAAAAAAAACGATGATGATGAGAGTAATCAGGGCTTGTGTCCCCTGGGTCATTTTCGTCTGCGGACTGCTCGGGGATCCATGAGCAATACTTTCTCTGGAAGGAAAAAGTGAGCGCCGAGTGGCACAGGGCCAAAGAGTTGACTCAGGGACCAGGCACTTGCCCTGCCCAGGGAAGGGAACTCCGTGATTTCACACCCGGTACAGTTGACACCACCACAGGCACACGCACGGCCACCCCAGGCGGAGCCCCCAGGGGTCAGGAGGAGAAAGCCCCCTCACTCACACTGCAAAAACAACAGCAGTGTTTGGGCACTCGCTGGCACGGTGAAAAACCAGACAGAGACCCCCCAGAGCAGCAGGCCGACACCCAGAGGCGCCCGCCCGCCCAGCTGCTAGCTGGGAGCCTGCTCAGAACGCTTGGGCGCGGACACAAATATGCAAAACTCAATAAAAACAGTGTAGAGGCACGCGGACAACGCCTTCCCTGTGCTGGACGCAGTGCAGGGCCGTCACGCATGGCTCTCTCGTCCTGGGTCTGGGAGCATTATGCCCCTTTGAAAGGTGGGGATGCAGCCTGGAGAGGTGCCTCTGGAGGCTGAGTGTCTACGTTCCTCATGCCTGGGAGTGATCCCAAGCACAGAGCTGGGAGTCGTCCCTGAGTTCTGCTGGGCGTGACCCACAAGTCAAAATAATGTCACTGTCACTGTCACTGTCCTCCCATTGTTCATCGATTTGCTTGAGCAGGCCCAGTAACGTCTCCATTGTGAGACTTGTTACTGTGTTTGGCATATCGAATACATCATGGATAGCTTGCCAGGCTTTGCCGTGTAGGCGAGATACTCTCAGTAGCTTGCAGGGCTCTCCAAGAGGGGTGAAGGAATCGAACCCAGGTGGGCCCAGTTGTCCGCATACAAGGCAAATGCCCTACCCACTGTGCTATCGCTCCAGCCCAAATCAAAATAATAGTAATAATAATAGTAGCACTGTAGCACTGTTTTCCTGTTGTTCGTCGATTCACTCAAGCAGGCACCAGCAACGTGTCCATGATAAGACTAGTTGTTACTGTTTTTGGCATATCAAATACGCCATCGGGAGCTTGCCAGGCTCTGCCGTGCAGGCGGGTGGGATACTCTTGGTAGCTTGCCAGGCTCTCTGAGAGGGATGGAGGAATTGAACCCGGGTCAGCTGCATTCAAGGCAAATGCCCTACCCGCTGTGCTATCGCTCCACCCAATGATAATAGTAGTAGTAGTAATAATAATAATGATAATGATAATAATAAAGATGTTGAAAGATGTTGAATCGAAGGGATGGAATATGGCTTAACAGTAGAGGCATGTCGAGGAGACATGGGACCATACAAGGCAAACGCCCTACCTGCTGTGCTATCGCTCCAGCCCCTATATGCAGACATTTAGCACCTGGTAAAGCTAGGGTTTTAAATGAGAACGTCTTTCTGAAAAAGCTGAAGTAACATATAATAGAATTAGGGCCCTTTAGAGACAGTACAGTGGGGACAGCCTCTGCCTTGAAAGCAGCGGAGCCAAGGGCACCGGTTATGGTTCCCCCATCCTACCAAGAGTGATTCCCGAGCACAGAGCCAGGCGTGAGCCCTGAGTACCAGGTGGTGTGGCTCAAAAGCCAATAACAACAGCAACAAAAAGAACAAAATTAGTAAGACTGGAGGGATCGGGCAAAGGGTAGGTTGCTTGCCTTGCATGCAGCTGACCTAGATCAATCCCAGGCATCCCATATGGTCACTAAGCCCACCAGGAGTAAGCCCTGAGCACAGAACCAGGAGTAAGCCCTGAGCACAGCCAGGTATGGCCCCCAGAACCCCCCACACACACTAACAATAATAATAATAATAATTAATAATATACCCAACTAATTAAAAATTAGAACTCAATCTGAACTTTAAAGAGCACACAAATTTTTATCATTGTTATTCATGACTGTCTCTCATACCCCTTCTCCTGCCACACACGAAGCAGATGCATGAGACTAGAATATCCCCTAAAAAACCTTAAATTTAAAGCCACAAACATTTCAGAAAATACAGGGCCTGCCAGGCGCAGGGATCAGTCCTCAGGCCAGAAGGGGCAACCCCTAAAAATAAACACACACACAGAAGCCTGTGGCCAAAAAAACAAGTGATGAGACAACCACAAAACAGGTACACACACACAAACACACACACACACACACACACACACACACACAGGCCAAGCAGACCCAATGGCATCACCAAGAGCCAGCACAAAGGCCGCTTCCACACACCCAGGGGCCATTGCCCCCAGCTCTCCCTGGGCCCCTGGGACCTCAGCGGGGCTGCATGACCCAGTGGGGACGCCCAAGATGCCCCCCTTGGAAGAACAAGCTCAAGCCCCGTCTGAACCTCCCGCCCAGCCCCTACGCTGGGTCCAGCTCACACGCACGGCTGCTCCCCCAACTGGCCTGTCCTTGTTCCCAAGGCCCCCTGCCCCCACATCCCTCATCCCTCCAAAGAACAGAGCTTCTCGCTCTGCTAGAAAGACAGGCCCAGGGGCTGTTTCCTGAGGAGAACAGGGGAAGGACCGGAATCTCTCCTCCCCTTGGAGCAGAGGTTTCCCTGGAGACAGGCCCCCTCAGAGCAGCGGGAATGTGAAGGATGCTTTCCCTGTCCCCAGGCCGGGGTGTGTGTGTATATGTGTGTGTGTGTGTGTGTGTGTGTGTGTGTGTGTGTTGCTTCCCCTGTCCCCAGGCTGGGACAGGCCCTTCTGGATCCTACTATCTGCAGCCCAAACCCTAAGATGCTGGGGTGTCCCTCCCCTCCCAAGCCAGGGGTCACCTCTATTCTTTAACACACCCTCCCCACCAGCCCTTACCCCACTCCAAGCTGGTCTGAGACAAAGGCTCAAGTGTCCAATATTCCTGTCCTCTCTCTAGTCAAGAGCAGCAAGAAGCAGTGGGTAGACACACCGGCCTGGCTCCAAGATGGAGCACAGGCCTCCAAGGTGAGAGGCCCTGGGTTCTAGCCTGGACATGGGGTGGTCTCACCCAGACACAAGGTGGTAGGAGCTGGGAGGAGCCATGGAAGGCAGCACCAGGCGTCCCTGTGCGCCTTTTCCTCTTAACAGGGAGCGTGAAAGAAGAGCTTCTGGCAAGCAAGCTCCAGAGGTATCCCTGGAGGCCGAGGATGGTGTTCGCACGGATTCCCATTACCTGCTCCCCGGGCCCTTCCGGCCCAGCTCCACTCGCCATTGATTTGGGGAAAGGTCAATATTAAATGGATTCTGCCGTGGAATGGACTCCCATGTGGGTCACTGTTTGCAGCAGAAACATCGGCAGGAACAATCAGCGCGGGGGTGTAACTGGTGTCGTGAAATCGAGTTGGCCGGACCCCAGCGGCAATGTCTGAGCTGTCCCCAGGGCCTGGAGCGTGCTGGCGCTCGACTCCAGCTGCCTTGCACCTTCCGGGCTTCTGGGGGAAAAACTGAGGCAGGCTCGGCTCCACCCAGTCGTGCCCGGCCAACAGGAGGATTTGCAGAAAGGCCAGAACCATGGGACGCGTGTCTGGTGGTCCTGTCCATAAACATGGGCTCACTCACCCTTCTCCCCGCCCGGAGACCTATTTGCCAGGACCACGAGCCGGAAGGCAACGTGGGCTCCGACCCCGACTCAGACAGGAAGGTCAACAGAGAGAAGTGGGCCAAGCCAGGAGAGAGGGTGAGGCAGGGGAGGGCACCAGGCGGGGGTGAGGGTCGTGACTCAAGGGCTTTGAACCCCCTAAGCCCTCCAGGAAACTGGGCAGAACACCAGACCTGTCCGGGGGTCCCCACAGGTCTCCC